CCAAATTACTCGATCTCCTGCTTTCCTTGCTCCGCCTCTTGTCTTTTGTGCTTCTTGGTTTCCCACTCATTTAGCATCCTGCCAATTTTGGTTAACTGATAGTGCATATAAACCGAACTTCTTGCCCCAAAATGAGTCAATCGTCCATTTTTTTGTCAAAGGGTTGAGGTAAAAGAACCATTCCCTTCGCATTCTACTCCTCTTCATGTTGCATTTTTTCTTTTCTTCTTTATTTTCCTTACACATTTAATTTGTGTTAGTTACAAAGGTGCTAAGATCGTTTTTTTTACCAATTTCATTATCATATTATCTTGCTCATGCTTAGTATGAGGACCTACATAAATTTTTTCTTATATTTCAACATTTCATTAATATGATTTCACTTTCAACTAGGATTTCTTATTGAAACACTTTATTTCTTTTTAGAATCACTCATGCTTCGAATCAATAAAGAATTATGTTAGTGTGGTGTTTTAATAAATATTACTACTAATTTCTAATGCTTGTTTGGAGAATGCAAATTGTCATGCATTCATATAGCTATGAGTGCAAAATCCAATAAGAATTTATATTGTAAATTTGAAAAACATCAAGAAGGTTTATGATTCATGTTGATGACAGTAATGACCAATTGATTAAGTTCTATCTTATATGAGTCCATCTTATAAATAATTTCGTAACTATAGAACTATGCGTCTGTATTGTTAACGTCTTTATCTTCTATTTTCATAGATATAATTGATGGGTAAGCCGAACAAGAGCTACTTAACGAGTCAAACTCGAGCTATGTGCGAACAACTAGCTTTTTTTACAGTCTTAATGATGAGACTGTATACCTTTTTGATCACAATACAATGAGTGTAGAAAATATTGTGGCGAAGCCACAGAGAACCACGAGCATCTCGTCTTAATCCGGAGGGAGATAATACATCTCATCCAATTCTTCAACTCTATTCGTCGCTAAACTCCTCCACTGCGCCTGACACGGTGAAAGAAAACTTCACTCATTGGGAAGCTGGAGGCGATGTTCCTAAATCTGTTGCATCTGAAGCATTTTCTGGATGAGACAATAGTAGACGTGCAACTCTTTTTAGGCTTCTTTTCACTGGGGGTGGTTATCTCCTTCTTTGAATCAATTTTCTCAACTTTCGAAGGCATGCTCCTGCTAATGTCTCTATCCGAGGTGGCTGCCCGCTGGTGGTGGTTGCCTGTTCTGTTTCTGCTGCCTTATCACTTTCAACACTAAGGTCTGGACATCTCCAAATGACCAATAGGGATGCAACTGTACCACGTTGCTGATAGCGGGCTTCAGGCCCCATATAACGGGCTATGGTGTGTTCCTTTGACTCGACTAAATAAAACTTCGTCTGCAGCTAATTAAACTGCATCTTGAACTCCACCACTAAGTCTTTCTGCTGCAAGTTATGGAGCCTCAGAAACATATTTAGACGGTAATAAAGAGGTAGGTATTATCTTTGCATCGTCTTCCGCATTTTCTCTCACTTGTTAATTTTGTCATTGCCTTCTGTCTCACTCTTCCTTGTAAGTTTTTCCACCATAAGCGTCGTGGTTTTTCTTCTTCATCACCGAAATCCTCCTTATGGTAGGGGTGGAAATTCTCGTCTCTTTAGCCCCTTTGGCTTTCCCGGTCACGATCGAGAGTAATTTTTCTGGATTTCATCATGCATGTCCGCCAGCTTTCATTGAAGTCGACAATATCTCTGTGGCATGACTAGGGTTTAGGGTTGCGATGTGAAAGAGAGTGTATAAGACTCATTGAAGGTGTTGAATAATTAATTTGGGATTGCTGATTTTTAAATCAGCTAGCGGAAATTGGAGTAAAGTCAAAATTTGTCTTTGGTATGATAGTAGGAGAGAAAATTTTGGTGGAGGGGATAAGGCGGATGCTAGGAAACTCTAGGATAAGACTACAGTTAGGCTGACTCTGATACCAAATGATATCAGAGTTAACACAAAGCACAATGAGAATGCAAATATCATTGCTAAAATTCAATAGGGTTACAAATAAAGACACTTGACAATAGGAAAAGTAACAACACAAATATAAAAGACACTCTAAGATGAGGAGGAAGGTGGTGACCACTAGCTGGACGGTAGGTGGGTGGTGGATTAGAGGCTCCTGGACGGAACAAGTGGAGTAGGAAACTAGAGATGGGTGGTCACGGGATAGCCCCAGGAAGGTCGGGCTTGCTGGTTTGGGGGTTGCTGCAGGGAAGCAGGAAGGCTGGTAGGGTGGAGTTATGACAGGGAGGAGGGTTGGTAGAGGGGTTATGGGGGGAGATTGCAGCAGGTGGTCATGAGGGAGGGGCTGCAGCAGATTTATCCTGAGGGGGGATGGCAGCAATAGTTAAGCAGGATGGCAGCGAAGATTGCGGAAAGGATAACTATCTCCGCAGGAACAATTTACAAACGGAGCGCCACTCGAATCCTTGGAGAAGATAACTACTTCAAACGAGTTATAGCCGAAGCACCTTATCGCCTTCGGATATAGCTCTAGACGGGGAAAACAGCCAACGACGACAAGCTGGACAGAATTCTCAAGCTAAACTAAACCGTTAACATCAAACAACATATTTATAATAACTTGGATAGGAAGGGGGTGCGGCAGCCCTTGTCCTAAGAAGCACCGACCGTTCCAGCCTCCCTGCTGGACCGATACATGCTGGCTGCTGCTGCACCGGCTGGTTCAGCCCAAGCAAGCCCTACATCATGTTAGTTCTCATAACCAAGTTTTTGTCTGTTTTGGATCTTAACTAGTGGTGCACATCTCTATTCGTTAGCATGTCAGTTTTTGTTAAGAGTTTCTATGATGAAATAGCACGTTTCTTAGGATATAAAATGAGCTGACTAAGGGCATTTAACATAGGACTTTTGATGACTATAAAGAGCAAAGCCTTAGGCATGTAAATAAACCTTTTGATCAATAAAATTTTGAATTTTCTTTTCAAACTAGTAAATATCTACTGGATGTGTGATTCCTTGGACCGCAGTGCAAGTGCAATAAGCAAGTTCTTGGAGAAGTTGTTTCCTTCTTTCGATATGAGGCCTTAAGTTTCTTCGCTTAGGTTATTTATTTCCTTATTTTATTTCTTAATTTTTATTTTGTTAATGCAAGTGTCTTAATTTTAATTTTGCCGCAATCATACTTTTAAATTTTAATAAATTCATTTACTGGTTCATTTTTCATGGTTCAAATCTCTTGACGATTCTTTCAAATTTAATGAATTGTTGTATTTTTCTGGTTTAATCTCACATAAGTTATTTTATGCATAAAAAAAAAAAAAATTGTTCATAAAATTGTTTTTATTTTTTGTCTTGTGAATCATAATTTTGGGACTAACATAGCCCTATGCAAAGCGTCCTGAGGACATTTTGATACTTTTTTCAATTTTAATTACTTATTTTATAGAAGTTGCAAAACAATGATAAATCAGTCTTACAAGACCAGTTTATATTAGTTCTCCTTCAATCAAGGTAATTGTTATCAAGCTAAGCCGTTCCCAACCAAATAAAAAAGCCATTGAATCAATTTCTGAAAGTTCTATTTTTGTTTAAAATATGTTTTCCTTTGTTTTATGTTCTTCATTTTTATATCTATTTGAAGTAAAATCTTATTTGAGGTAGTTTACTCGGTTGAGCCAGAAAGAAGAAATAAAATATCAATATATTACCTAGTATGGATGGTTGGCGGACAAATCATTTTTGTATTGGTTTGGCCGCGTTAACTTATGCCATGTTGGAATAATTCTCTCTTGCTTTTTCATCAATCATTCTACTAATTAGATATTTGAATAACTTTAATGAATTTTACATATCTATCACCTAAAGTTTGTTATTTACATTTATAACACCTTATATTAAAACCTATGCATGAGAAGGTGTATTTTATTTTTAAAAGATAAGCATCTTAGTGATAGTGGTGTTTATGATGTGATGTCGAAAATTTGAGTGTTTATTTATGTAATTTGGAAGTTTAGGTGTTAGATATGTAAATATATAAGAATTGTGTGGTTTATATGTAAATGCCCCAATTAAATAGTTGTTGAGGATAGAATGAAATGGAGATATAGAGTTTCAGATGAAAAGAGAAGAACAATAGCGAAAGTTTATGCATGGAACCAAACTAAAGATTTATCTGGAAGATTAATCTATACGTCCACTTCTTTTGATTTGTAGTGCATTTTCTCGCACGATTATAATCAAATCAAAATAAGGCTTATTATTTGACTGATTTTTTATTATTTACTTTTTTTTTTTTTCTATTGGCTTCTTATTTGACTGTTCCTTACATTTGAAATTATACAAGTTATTCAAGAAGGGCTTCTAATGGTTGAATAGAATTTCATAGTATTTTCCTTCTTTGAAATTTAAGTACCTACCATATATTTTCTTTGTATAGACATATCTAATACCTCAAGTGTGATATTTACATTTATACACTTTGATGTCATGAACCTATATGTGAAAAGAGTAGTTTGGTATTTTTTATTTGAAATTAAAGATTGGAGTGTCATGTATGTAAATATGAAAATATGTAAGTACATGAGAATTATGGTATGTATGTAAATGCCCCTTTCTTTCTTTAATCCATGTAAGTTTATGCTTTGGAGAATACATTATCTTGATATGTTCTTGTTTTACCCATCTTTGAAATCTAGATGTTTTTTTAATATTATAAGATTTACATACATACCACTCAATTCCTATGTATTTACATATCTAACACATACTTCAATTTTTACAAACATATCACATATGAAAAGTTGTATTTTACATTTTAAAAGTTAAAATGGTGGCATTTTTTATGTGATATGAAATATTTGGGTGATATAAATCTAGAAAAAGCAAAGTTTGGGTGTTAGATATGTAAATATATAGGGATTGGGTGGTATGTATGTAAATTCCCCTTGAGCATTTGATTGTCATTGAAGTTTGCTTACTGGTTATTCTTGTTTTTTATTCGTTCTGTCTGCTTCTAGGAGAACGCATGATGGATTTTATGAACATGGATGACCGATCGATGGGTATGTTTTGGGTTCTGTCATACACCATGGTTCAGCCAACTTATGAGGCTGTGATGACCTGGCTTACTTCTTCCGACGTAACTGAAATTCTTCAAGGAACTGTACAGTCTAATGATAGAATGATGATGATGCGGGAAACTTGTCCTCTTTCTATGCCACTTCTTTCTGGTTTATCTATATACTTATGCTGGAAACTATCGCACCAACTTGAAGAAGGAATATTTCTCGGACAGGTACTTTTGGAATGATGTTCTGTTCTTGTCAGTATCTCCTTAAATAAAGGGGCACTTGCATTTTATGCTGCGCAATTCCTATGTATTTACATATCTAACACCCAAACTTCATTTTTTGCGTTAATATGACCCAAATCATTCTTATCACATCAAAAATACCATGATCTTAACTTTTTAAGAAGTGAAGTACACCTTTTTATGCATAGCTAAAATGATGTGCTTGTAAAATGTATGTTTGGTGTTAGATAGATATAAATACATAGAACTTGAGTAGTATGTATGTAAATCTTCTTTAAATAAATTAATGAGTACTATTTTTTTTTAATGGATACTCATAATATAGCCTAAAATATTATTAAAATGAGGCAAAGTTAAATGAACACAATAAACACATTTGAACATAAATTAATCGAAAATCCAATGACCATAATTGCACTGCATCATATGCTTTCACAAATTTGGAGTTATTTGAATGCCAATTTTGTTAACACTTTTCTCATATGATTCTTTCTTTGGATAATTGAGATGGTTAATTTTATTGGTTTGTTTTAACTTTTAAGCATACATGCTAGTTCAACAACAGCAACAACATAATAGAAAGAACCAAAATCTCATGCCCTTCCATTGGTATCATAATTATTACTATTTAAGAATGTTATAATGAAATATGTCCATCTTAACCTTAACTTTGACACTTAGCCCTGCCATTGGTATCATAATTATCACTTTTTAAGAATGTAATAATGAAATATGTCTATCTTTACTTTAACTTTGACACTTACCTCTACCCTCGGGAGCCTAGATTGTGGGACTAGATGTCAAACTAGCATAATTAAGTTGATTCATTGAGGCTTGTTATTTTGTGTGAATGGGAATAAGAATAAAATAGAAATGCATGCAAGAATTGTAGTTTTTTTATAGGTTTTAACACAAGATACTTCAAGGCATAAACTTTTTGTACCTTCAAGTTCCATTATTATTGTAAGAAGATTGCCTTTTTATTTTAAAAAATGGGTGCTAAAACCCAAAGGGTAAAATCAAGACACACAATTAAGGTTGATTACAAGGAAGAAGAAAGTACCAGATGACGCAGGGCTTGGGGGCTGACCCGGTCCCAACCGGTTAAGTCGGAGAGTGTTTGGTTCAGCAGGATGCCGGACCTGCTTTCATTAGGTGGGAATTATTCCCCCTTCTTGTTTTCGTTTCCCCTCATCAACCTTCTATTTATATGTTGTTTCTCTGTTTTAGGGTTATGTTTTGTGAGTTTGATTTCAGGTTTCTGTTAAGGACTGCCATTGGTGTCCTTTTTTCCCTTTTGAGGGCTACATCCGAGGATGAGTGGTGCTCCTGTTGTATCTCGCTTCGAGGTGTTGTTTATCCTCAACTATTCCATCCTTTACAACCTCCCCTCTGCTATCGCCATCGCTGTACCTTGTTGTCGACCGCTTGAAATCGCTGTCACTCAGTTTCCATGTAGCCCGTCTATCTGACTCCAGCCCTCCTCGCTTCTGCCCTGCTGTAATTCCCCTGCCCATTTCCTTCTTCTGTTTTTGATTATTGCGGACCCTCTACCTGCCTTCATCTGCAACCCCATTGTTCCTTTAGGTATTACCTCATGCACATCCATCATCCTACCATACAACAACCGGTTGCTGCCGCCTCTCACGCACCGTTTTCTGCTTCCAGCCGCCCCTTTCCTGGCCTTTACTTGTCGTTATTGCCACTTGCACTCTGCTCCACCAGCCTCTCTCGTGGCCGCTTCCTCCACCTCCTTTCAACTGCCTCCAACCTCCCAGAATTACTGCCAGCTTTTCTAACCTACCAGATAGCCACCACACACTTTTCTCACTTCCACCCTTCCTGCTCTCACAACCAACTTCCATTCGACCCTACCTGGTGTCCAGCCGCTGGCCACCACCCTCGTCCTCCCCCTAGGGTGTACGTTATGTTGTTATTTTTCTATCGGTAAGAGTCTCTGCTTGTAACGCTTTTGAATTTCAACAATAATATTTACTTTTCTATTGTGGTTTTGGTTAACACCGGTACCATTTGGTATCTAATCCTAATCCTATGCTAGGGTTTCCTAGCATCTGTCCCTTCTCAAGCCACCCCTACAAAAATTTTTTTCTTTCCTATTCCTAACCATTGCCAAAACTTTGAACTAACCTTCAATTCCTCTTGCTGAATTTCAAAATCAGCAACCGTAAATTAAATTTGTAGCCCTCTCTCACCTCCCAACTCTATACTCTAGCCATGCCACCATTGAAATACATGCCCGAGCCTTCCCAAAAGGAGATACGACTAGAGATCCGCAGACTTGGGCAGTGAATTACAGCCATGGAAAATGAAATCCAATGGGAAACTACCCTCGCTGTGTTCCGAAAAGTCGAATGTGGGAACGAGAAGATATGAAGATGAAGCGGGAAACATAATGTCGATACTTTCCGACTTACTATCGTCTAAAGTTTTAGAATGGCTTCAGAATTGGAGAGAACACTGCACAGAGTGACCCCCACATCCTACAGACAGATTTCAATCTCCGGATCTTACAATTCGAATACACCCAGGAAAGCACCCTAAACGACCCTGTCAGAGGAAGAGATGATTCTGAGTGGAGAAAAGGTAAAATCAATCCGCACCCCTAAATCATTCACAGTCAGAAAGTGTTACAACTGTCATGGATTTGGGTCCGTTGGCTCAGAATGCACAACCAGGGGAGTGATTTGTTTCGTTAAGCATGGCGTTGTTGAAAAATTGGACTATGACACAGTTGATCCTAGAGATGATGATGACTTCAGAGAGAATTCCAAACTTTCAACCAACGAGGAAGAGAAGTTATTGATTCCAGTTGACCCCAGGAGAGATTCCAATTGACCCCAGGAGAGATTCCAGTTGAGGTAACAATAGCGTTGTTCTAGAATGTAGTAACTTTAATGTAAAAGGCGTTCATGCAGGGCATGAGATTGTGATTCCTCAAGCTATCATTAGACAGAAGTTCATGGGAACATCAACAGGATTGACTTTGGATGTTCAAAATGACCATGACCTTGAGGAGCCAATACTAGAAACGGGTCAGTTTCAGATAACATAATTTAAGTACTTTTAGATATATAGCCCGCCTCCTGAATTGCGCCTACAAAAGGAGGCCCAACCTGTCAAATATGAAAAGATTTTGAATTACTTCTGGAAGACAATCGTAAGTTATTTGGGGATTAAAATTGGTTCAACAATGTACCTTCCAACAGAAGATTACACGGGATGGATGAATCGCAATATATGAGAATTACTCCAGGATCCTTGGGAGAATGAATATTCTACCGTGTGATCCAGGTCCTTCTCAAGAAGAAGAAAAGTCCTCTCATAAGTGGTTACATGTCAGGATGACCCTACCTGGTAGCGATGTCGTTCCAGAGTTTACCCCCTCTGATAGCCTTGTTTATCAGATATAACTAGCCGAGTATGAGGAGTGGGAGAAGCATATTATATATTTACTTGCTCAAAATTTGGTTTGGGAGAACCTACGTAATTGTGTACTTTCGACTCAGGTTGTGCCAAAAGAAGACAGATACCTATTCTATCAAAATGTTATTTGGAATGACACCGCCTACAAAATTGACTTACCGGGTGCTTACAACATGACTGCCCTGACTACTAGGAGACAAAAAGCTTCGACTAATGAGGTTGAATCTCTCCCAATCCCGGGAGACTGATACGAGGCTTGGGGGTTGTCCCGGTCCGACCAGTTCTGCCGGAGAGATTTCGGTCCCGCATGTGGTTGAAGCTGCCCACTCTCTCTCTTTTCATTAGTCAGGAATTATTCCTCCGTTTCTGTTTTCATTTCGCTCTATCCATCTTCTATTTATATGTTATTTCTTTGTTTTAGGGTTATGCTTTGTGAGTTTGATTTCAGGTTTCTGTTAAGGACAGCTGTCGGCGTCTTCTTTTCCCTTTCAAGGGTTGTATTCGAGGACGTGTGGTGCTCCGATTGTATCTTTGCTTTGAGGTGGTGCTTATCCTCGTTTTTTCCATCCTCCACAACCTCCCCTTCTCTGTCGCCATCACTGTACCTTGCTGCCACCGCCTGAAACTGCAGCCCCGCAGTTTCCCTGCAGCTCCATTTACCCGACTCCAGCCCTCCCTGCTTCTGCCCTGACGTACTTCCCCTGCCCGTTTTCTTCTGCTTTTGATTACCACAGACCCTCTTACCTGTCTCAATCTGCAACCCCACTGTTCCTCCAGGTATTACCACATACACATTCGTCAACCTACCATACAACAGCCTCTTGCTGCCGCCTAACCCTTACGCTCACCTGGCCCTTGCCGTTTTTGCCTCCTTCACTTTGCTGCTCCAGCCACCTACTGTGGCCGCTTCCCCCTCCCCCTTCCATCCATAGCTTCCCTGTAACTTCCTCTAACCCTCCCAGAATTACTGCCAACTTCTCTAAACTAACAGATAGCTACCACACTCTTTTCACGTGCTGTCCAATGGTTACCAGAACTCACTTCCACCCTTCCTGCCCTCACAACCACCTCTCATCCGACCCCTACTTATTGTCCATCCGCCAATCACCACCCTCTTCCTCGCCCTAGGGTGTCTTTTTACGTTGTGTCGTCATTTTTCTATCGTTAAAAGTCTTCGTTTGTAATCCTTTTGAATTTTAGCAATAATATTGATATTTCTATTATGATTTGGGTTAGCACCATTATCACAAGATGATTACAAATATGGGCTAACAATTCTATGAAAATTACAGAAGTTGTATAGATCTCTTAAATAATTCCTTGAGAGTTAGGCAAGTTGAATTCGTCCACCAGTTTGTTGATTTTTGAACCTTTCTTCATTTTTAATTCCTGCACCAGACCTATGATACAGAAATAATTTTATAGCCCCCCCAACCAAAAAAAAATGTGACTTTATTCTGGAAGCGTCTAAAGATTTCTTACCTTCTAAATGATCAAAATTTCAGTGAAGAGGAATGAATCTCAGAACTTCAGATTTTCCTCTGCCAACTTTGCTTCTCAAAAAGAAAAAAAGCTTTGGAGATGCAAGTAAGGTATTAGAAATGCCAAAAGTGTAGTAGAACCTATCTTAAATGCTTGATATGTTGGGATAGCTGAAGAAAGAGAGTCAATTTTCTTCAAGTTGAACTTTGCACATAACGGAAGTGGCGATAGAGACAATCCCCATTTTATAAAAAGAAATTTTGTTGAGCCTATTCCTTTGATATATGATCCAGCCGAACATAGAAATATAAATGGGAGCAATAGATTTTCATATTTAAATTGTGTTGAAATTTATGATGCTACCATTCTACCATTGAAAATAATGGATTTGACAGTGTAGGAATTGTAAGTGACAAATGGAGAGAAAAACAAAATAACCAGTACCGATGATACTGATAAGCAAAGTGTCGTTTGTTACTAGCTTTTTGGTTCTTCTAGATTAATTTCCAATGGCAGAAATTTGAAAATATTTTTTCAAACTTTTCATATGTTCATACATACATTTTCATGTTTAGAAAATTATCCTTTGGTGCCTAACACATTATTATGCATTGCCATGCAGGTCATTCCTAGCATAGCTATGGTGGAGACTTATGTTAGATTGCTGTTAATTGCTCCTCACTCGTTATTCCGTTCGCATTTCACGGTAGCTTTTGATGATTTTTTATGTTTTTTCGTCTCATTAATTTGCTAATTTTTTTCTGGTTTTGAGTTCACATTCTCAAATTGTGCATTCCCTTTTATTTCACATTAAACTATTTGCTTTTGTAAGCATCCTCATCATCAAGAATTATTCCAATTAATCGAGATTGGCTTTATTTTTTTTCCTATATTATTTTCTAATACTATTTATTGATTTATTATTTTCAATCAACAGTTTTTTTTGCAAAATTCTTGGTATTCATTGCTCTGTGCGGGATTTGAATATTCATGCATGACTCTTCTAAGTGTCTGTTTTCAGGTCAAATTTTTAGAATGCAAATTGAATTGTGTAGATAAAACACCATCTAAAAATTTTGCTCTCATTTTACGAGAACCTTTAGATCCAGTTCCAAGTTTCTCATAGAAGTAAGCCTCTAAGTTTATTAATCACCCCTCTTGGTAATGATAGAATTTTATATTAGGACTAATCAGAGGGTACTAATTGTTTAGCCTATAGTAATAGTTGTTTAATTTACAATCATAGAAAATTTATTATCTTTAATTTAAAGCAGGTTGTAGGATGAATGATGACGAAGCCAATCAAGGCCTATGATTTTGTCGTCCTAGATTATTGTGGGTCTTGGTCTATGTAGTTACCGAGATAGTCAACCTAGCTTAATTATAATATTCTTATTAGCAACCATTAGTTGTGCCTACCAAGAGAACCTTGTAAACTTGGGGGTGAAAGTTTGTTCCAAGGGATCATTTTTAATTAATCTTAGATAATAGAGAGCCTTATGCTCTATCAAGTACATTCCATGATTTACCGCTTAAGAAAATTAACCATTGGGGATCTTGTGGGCTTTGACCATAACCTTAATTTAATAGAATGATTTTTTGATGAACCACCTAGTTGGAGGATCCCAACATGACCTTACTTTTTATTATGTCCTTAGGTACAAAATCACCCTATTAGGGGATGCATGTCATGTTCTTATTTGCAAATGATATTCGAGAGTTATCATCAATTTATGCTTGATTTGATATCAGCTCTTTGTCAGTTGAAGTCATATTTAGTTTGTCATCCAAATCAAACTCTTGCAAGTAGTGGATGGATATTCACTTTTAACTTTAAATCTTACATTTTATTAGAACATTTACTTTTCTAAATTTTTATAGGTTTTTATTTTCTATCGAGATTTGAGCCTTCAGTGATTTGCTTTGAAATTTGAGAGTACTTTTATAATAGAATCCCACTTCTTATAGAGATTTATCAATCAATTTGGCCATTATCGAAGGATTTAAATATTTTTATCTTATTCTTTTGAATCTTATTAACTTTACTTGCTTGCAAAATATCGGGTCTATAATTTGAATAGGAATAGAGTGTATCTTAAAAATTTATTGTGTTGTTAGTGTTGCAAAAGTGCCAAACATTTAACATGCTACTTATGGCTTAACTTGAGTAGAACTCGTTCATGATAGATTGATTAAATTATTGAACAAGCTTGAATGTTGTCATAAATACTAAATGTTTAAATGAACAAATATAAACAATTTTTTGCTCGATTCACTTATAGCTTGTAAACAAGATCATTTAGAAGTTTGATATATAGTATCATTTAAAGTTTAGGAGTAAGCTTGTGATTAAGCTTATAAAAAAGCTTACTTAAGGCTCGATTGCCATGACTCAATCCATGATCTTGGAATATTCAGGCGAGAACTAATGATCACACTGATGAAACTATCTAAACACTTTTATGTCATAATTATATCTAATCCCAATAAAAAAAGTGTCATTATATTTCATAAAATTTTAATTTACAAATATTTTGTATAACTTCTAAATTTTTAAAGCTGAAAAAAAATAAAAACTGAATTGTGATACCTATCAGTCTAAGCTCCTCTTTGTATACACATACTCTCTAGGATCCATTTTTTTTCTAGTTGTTTTTTTTAAATGTTAGCAGATATAGATATGAGTTAACTATTCAGTAATATCTTTAAATTATAATAATTCTTAATTTCCTATTAATTTTTTTTTTGTAAAAAAGCAACAAAAAAGGGGTAAAAAAATCAATTTTTTATTTTCTTTTATTTATTTCAATTATAATATATGTCAAAGGAAATCATAGTTTAGACGTATTCTTACCTTTCTAAAATCCACCAAAAAAACTAACAATCATTTTTATTTTCATTTCTATTCTCATTTTACATACACGAGTACATTGCATCACCTGCTAGTATTGTCTATAGGTGACTACACATATGCATGCATATATTGTATTTTCTTTATTTGCTTTATTTAGCAATTCAAAATATAAATTTTACATCTACAAAAAATATTAAAACAGTAAAAACAGTTACAATTAATTTCATAAATAAACAAAACTATTATAAAATTAAAACATATTTATCCACTTGTTTGATGTAGTCAATTTTCTTTCTCCCAGAAGTAACTAATCCTTAGGTGTACATATAGTAACAATTTAAATTTAATTAATTTATGTTCATTTTTAATCTTTCTTGTATTTTAAATTCTAACTTCACATTGTTATTTAGATATGCTCATTTGAAATTTGTCTAATTTACATATATATGAATATTCAAATTAATTTTGCTCCTTTGAAATTTCCACTTAAGTGATTTTAGCAACATCTTTTACTTTTGACTTTATCCCAACGCAATTTAATTAAGAAATTAACAACTAAACATTTAAATTAAGCTTCATACCTAGAGTTTCTCTTTTTTCTTTTTTCTTTTTTCTGATTTCAACTTTCAATTCAAACTCAACAATTTTCTACAAAATTCATTAAGTGACATAAAATTTTCTGAAATTTAATTTGATTAACTAGGAATCAAGAGTTTCTAATATAATCACAAATAAATAAATAAAAATTCACTATAAAATTTTAGATTTATTTCCTAAGCCATAAACCTTTTTGTTGTCCTAGTTGCCTTCCCTATTTCTATGCGCGAGCACTTCGGGCTCAGTTGAGTTTCTTGGGTGTGGAGAGAAAACGCAGGACACATGCTCGACTCCCCCTACTTCACTTTCGAACGCTAATTGCACGTCGTCCCTCGACGAGAGCTTATAAGGCTTGATCGACACTACAAAGTAAAAAATCGATCATGTTCCCCTCTTCTTCTTCTTCTTCTTTGTTCACACAAGAAGTCTTTGTCTTCCTCCTCCCTCACACAGGAGACACGCTTGGGAGTCTCAATTTCAAGCTGCTTAGCTGGTCAACAAACACAATACCTATATAAGATGCCCATTGAGCCGCTCGAGCAACCCTGTGCAATTATTTACCTGCAATCTTCTTCTGTTGCTCGCATTTGTCTACGGGATCATCACTCGCCTCTTTTTTCTCGCTCCGATTTCGTCTCCTCCCCCATTTGCTACTTGTCGCTTCTTGGTGTCATGCAGTGGGCTCAGATGAATGAGGGAGAGGATAAATCCCCTTCCCGTAGGTGTTGCAAATGATAATTGAATGACACTTGTTTAACTGGTGTCGTGTATTTTTTCATTTTTTTACTAGTTAAAGTCATTAAAAAATTAAAAATATCATTATTGCAATCTTACCTCCTTTTAAAAATAAAGTCATCTAAATTTAAAATACAAAAACATAATTCATAGCTCAATTGAAAGTGTGTTGATATCTTTCTTTCTTTTATGATTTCTTCTCTCAACTGACATCTCTTTTCCTCCCATGTTTCCATGATACACGAATAAAAGAAATTTTCTATTTTTGATTTGTTTCACATCATAATCTATGATTATTTCTGATTTCTCTCTAAATGTCAGATTATGTTGAATGTCTATGGGGTTCATGATAAGCTTGCTAGCCTCATTAGTAGTATACTTCCGCAAAAAAAAGATGTAACATACAATATTTAACCCGTACATATGTGCTAGTAGGACAAACCTTATATAAAATCTGATATGGGTGTCAATATATTGTGGGCTCAACTTCCTTGACTTTTTAAATCGTTTAACATCTTTCATATGATTGACTGTCAGAAAAATAAATTCTCCTATCTAAAATTCAACTAATCGGTGTTTATCATCATAATATTTTGTTTATCCTAAATTGCTCTTACTCTGTCACAATTTTCAGATCTTTTGAGTAGTTTCGCCAATTAAATCAACATCAATGTTTTTCTTTCACCAGTTTCTATCCAACATAGATGTTGTAATAACCAAAACTTTTACATGTGAGAATCAATTACAATACTTGAGCGGATATTTTATTAATAGATGTTTCAATGTGTCTATTAATTTTAAAATAATTGGTTGATAAATAATAATTAAATACTGAAAAACGTATAAAAGAAAGATATGATCTATAAAATTTCAATAATTTTATGACTTCGTCATTAGCCCGATTTACAAACCCTCTTTACCAAATTATAAAATATGACGAATTTTAATTACTATAATTTTTTCATATTTTTATGATAAATATAATTACAAAAATGTAAGATTAATGATACAATTGCAATTTCTTAAGAAATATACATGCGCGGACATAATTTATATTTGGAGTCATTTGACATCCATTTTTCAAACTGTTTTTACCAGAGTGTCCAAAATGTTATAATTTATCTTATGACTATTTTTCCATAATTTTTAGAGTCATGGATCTCAAGATATAAAAAGTTTTATGTGAAATTTGTAATTGAAATCAAATGATTCTCATAATTGCACATATACTTATGCACCTTTTTTATATAAATCCTCAAAAATTTTTCTAGAATCTTCATTTCCCGTATCATGTCTATCTAAATCGTAAGAGAAAAAAAACAAGAGAGAAAGGGGAAGGGAAAAAAAAAGGATTTGGAGGCTGCATATTCATTTTCGTACAATGGGTCAGTTGGAAAAATTTACCAACGCAAAGTAGGATGTCATTAACCTATTTTTGATTTCATTGATTTTGTCTTTTTGCGTATTTTTAAAATTTTTATTTGTCAAAAACTTACAAAATTGATGATATCTCGAAATTT